CAAGGACCCCTTGGGTGGTCCTTGGGGAGTCATACCTCGATGTTTAGCCCCTAAAACCTCCATTCTATGTACGGGAAACATTTTTTGTGATTTTTAATCCTCATACCACTCCAAAACTCTTACGAAAAACTTTAGAACTCCCTAGTTCAGCTTACTAGTTTCCGGGGTATTACAAGGGGCAGATACATATACCAAGTAAGTACATATAAAATGTACAATAGAGCAAGTAGGGATCTTGTGAGGTAACATTATAGTCTAACACAATGGGAGTGATAACCAATAAAGGAAACATATGAACATGTGAAACGATGACTTATATGATGGAGTAGACAATTGAAGCAAGTTGGCAAGATATGGGCAGATTGTATATCCAACATATAAACATACATACCATGTGTAATCTAGGATCATTTTGATTTATATAAGAGGAATACGTGCCAGGGGATAGCATTTTGACGATGAAACAAGTTTAAACCTTGCATGCTAATACTTGGTAGAGTAAGAACGTACATTTATTAATAAACTGATATTAGAGTACTCACTTTAATGCTCTAGGGAGTAGGAATGAGATAATTAGCTACACTGGTGATCTTATATTGCCACTATGGATCAGTCACTACCAAGGGCACTTAGAAAGCAAACTTTATTATACAAGTATTGGATTCATGCCAAAGAAATAGGAAATCGAATAGTCTTACATACCTTGCTGCACAACATTGGATATTACAATGAGTTAACCGTCTTCATTTCAGATTATTTATCTACAATGGAGTAAATAATAAAATTGGCATTAGTAGTTTATCAACAAGTTTGGGCTACTTGATAAGACCAAAACAGTAATTAGTAGTATATCTATAATTGATCCCATCAAGGGTCTTCTTCCCATCCATTATCCTCTAATTTTTTTATATACTATATTGCCTTCTTATAAGGTCCTCTGAAACTCCTCGGGTTTCATCACGTCTGGAAAACAGTATACAAAGGGATGGCTAGAAGTAAGATCATGCAATACTTAATTAAGTGGTGTATCCCTACACTTTCAATGTTCTATCCTCTAACCAGTTCCCATGACTTCTCTACACATATCCAGCCACGCCCCCTTATTTTACGATACACAAAACAGTCCCTAAGCATCACACTGTGGAAGTAACAATATGAACTCACGGCTTCCGATCAACACCCCATGAGTTCCGACTAACATTACATTTAATATGCTCAAAACGAGCTCACAATCAAAATTTAAAGGGACTCCACTCCATGGTTGTCCCAACAAGCACATCCTTCCTGAACATTTACCAAGCCCGCACTATATAGAGGCAACACTCCTCAGTTCATTAACACATACAAACTTTCACAAACAATGCAAGAGCAAGAGAAGGATGAAAATTTCCATAGCTTACCTTGCTGGAAAGGAATCTCACTTGCTAAGACTTGGATTCTTCAAGGTTTAGGTTGTTCTCTCCTCCTTACCTTGATGTTAAATCAGATTATTCACTTAAATTCCTTAAGATAGGAGATGTTCTACCAACTTATGCTTTAAAAACACATCTTTCCTTTAGATTTTAATGGTGAAGTTGTAGACCAGAACTCTTGGAGCTTCTATGGCTTTGCTCGGGAGTAATTTTCTGGAGAATAAGTGATGAAGGAGATGTGATAAGCTTGAGTGCTTTACAGGTCCCTTCTGGACGTTTTCACTTCATAAATTGGAGAAATAATATGGTCCTTTACTTTAAGCAAGCAGGTGCATCACCTCATTAATTTCTGCCACAAGTTTTTAAGTAGATGCATCATCTACTTGCCCTTTTCACTTAAAATGCAGTCCACTTATCCTAAGTGGGTGCATCACCTACTTGCCCTTTTAACTTAAAATGCAGTCCACTAATTCTAAGTAGGAGCATCACCTACTTGCCCTTTTCACTTAAAATGCAGTCCACTAATTCTAAGTAGGTGCATCACCTACTTGTCACCTACTAGCATAGTTTAGTCAAGCAAGCACCTCACTTATTTTACACCATTTTCCCAATCTTAGTTTCAGTACAAAATCGTAGCACTAATACGCACTTGACCACTTTGACTTTTATACCTTTTACCATCCCAAGTTCGAATTGTTTTTGAGTTCACTTAGTCGTATATGTGTTGGAAGACACGGGGTATTGCAACTTTAAACCTATTCTATTGTCACTAGTTGCATAGAAAACCGAGTCCATAACTATACCACAAGGCAATTTATAAGCGTCATATAAATAGAACTAGTACACGTAGAATACGGGTGTTACATACATAAACTAGGTTTTTTGTGTCACTCCTTTTTCAAAAAAAAATGCACCTGAACTAGGTCCAGTGTTGCCCTTAGATGCTCCATCTGAGATTTCATCTAAAAGCTCCCATACACCATTTTACATCAAATTTTATGAGTGTAATCATTTAAAAATTAAACCAGCTCAACCCATGAATTAGGAATATTTTGCATCGTGGAGTGTAATCTTCTTTTGTTTTAATGCTTTGTTTTAGTTATTGTTTTCCTTTTTGGTATATGTATGTGTTTGTTAATAATAGTTAGTACTTCCGTTCGGTTGTTCTTTTTTTTTAAACATAAGAGACTACTTTTTTTGTCTCAAAATTAAATGACATGGTGTTTTTGTAAGGTGTGAATAACAGTGAAGTTAAAAAAAACAGAATAGCTATTTTCTTTATATCTGCTTAAGATTGGTGTGTAGAATTATCAGATATTTGTGTTGGTGCATTATCGAGATTAGTGCAAGGCGTCATCAGCTATAGAGCGAATCAAGGTTGCTGTAGCAATCTTCAGCGTTCCAGAACTCTGGAGGTGCATTCATAGCGCTCCTTGGTTAAAAATTTTCGTTTTCGATAATTTTTCTACAAATCAATGATCTTAAAGTACTCTCCTAATTAAACATGAAAACAAATCTAGTTATTTCAAGTTCTAAATCATTCTCAAATCTAACTTTTCTTCAAGAACAACCCTTCAACTTTCTTCAGTATTTCGAAATCGATTCAAGCTCTTTTATCTGTAACCCTTACGCCCAGAACGTTGTACCAACATTGTAAACATAAGGGGAAGTCTCATGCTTCAATAAATTTGACAATCAAGCAATTATTTTCAAAGTTCAGAATCAACCTAAACCTTATTCTATTTTATTCAATTTTGTACATGATTTCATCATTATTTTCCTACTGAAGTAGAAAAGAGTAAGGAGAGCGATGCGTACCTTGATTTCGATGACTCTGAACACTGTAATCTGAGAGGATTGAGAGATATTGAGATTGAGAGTTGGAAGAGGTTAAATGAGCATAAAAACTCATTCTCCTCTCTTTTGTTATTTTAAATTTGCATGATGTTATAGTAGTTGAACAACCACTACAACGCCGTTGCTATAGTGGGGTCTAGAGAAGTAGGTATGTAGAAAATTATGTTATTGTTTTCGTGCATTCACATTTTCTATTTTGATAATCTTGGATACGCGAGACGTGGTAGAGTTGTGTTCCTTGTGTATGGTGAGTGCATTCTTGACGTGTCAAATCGTGTGGTAAACCTTGATAATCGGTCTATTTTCTTTTCTCCTGGGGTAATAGTTCAGGGATGAACAAAAGATTAGTTAGTATCTTATTGTAACGATTCAATTTATGTTAGTAAAGGACATCTTGTTGGAAATTTCAAAAGTCCGAAAGTGCAGTGCAAGTATTTTTAAAATTTGAGCACATGACAATTTTGGCCCAGCTTGATTTTTTGGCCAGGCTGACGTCAGCCCGCATAGAGGCAGGCTTCCCACTATGGCGACGCTGCTATAGCAGGTTGGCAAATTTCTAAACTCTAATTAATGCATCATTTTTTATTTTCCTCTTATTTTATAAAGGAGAAAGTAGATGAGGGTTGCTCCAAAAACCCTCTAAAGGCACCCGGGCAAAGGAGCAATAAAGGAGGAAGAATTACCGCACAAGAAAGGTGAAAACCTAAGTAATTTCAATCTTTGTACATCCTAGGTTCCTCTCATGGAGTCAGAAGTTCATAGGTAGGGTTCATCAACTCATGTTTGACACCTAAGTAGGCTAGGTTTCCTTCAACTTAGTAGTTAGACACGATTTTAATGCATTATATCTTATAGATGTTCGAAAATTGCATGATAACATTAACCATGATTATATTAGACACATCAAATTTAGACTATCAATTATAAGAAGATTTATATAGCAAAACAAAATATACTCTATACTATTTATGTTTGGGCTAAGATACTACCAGAAATATTTGAAGATGAAGAGACTCATGTTGATAACGTGTTATAAAATAAAACATGTGTAGTAAATAAAATGACAAGAAGAAAAGAAGAGAAAGAAAGAAAGTAGTAAGTAACTTTGTTTTCACTTTTTGTATTTTTTTTCATTGTTACAAAAAGAGGAATATGTGATATATGCAGCGGCGTAGCCACATGTGGTCAGGTTGTCCAGTTGGACACCCTTCATTAGAAAAAATATTGTACATACAAGTTAAATGATACACGAAATGATTAAATAGCATATATTAAACACCCTTAACATAACAAGTTGTTATAACCCAATAGTTTCACCTCCTTGGAATGAGGGAGTGTTCATATGTTCGAATCTCACTAGTTTTATATTTTGAAAAGAGCTTTTGTTATTTCTGAGCACTCTTTGTGAAATTTCTAGCTCTACCACTGAATATATAGATATCTTCTTATTATGTATACACTTTAGACACACACCAAATATATCATATGATTAACTAGTATACATCACTTAATATATTACGTGTATAATAATAACTTTATATGAACGGGATGAAAACTTTCATTAATTAAACTCTGACAACAATTTTTTTGTTTACAAATGCAAGTAGAAGAAGACCACAATCTTTAACAATTACACATACACAATTCAAATTAAAAGCTTAATCTCCTAACAAACCAAAATACTTGAGAAAACAGACATTATTGACAAAGGGACTTTCATCAAACACTTGTTTAACCAGAAATGTCAATGGCCTTCACTTCATGTTTCTTCTCTTCTTCTTTAGGAACAGTCACAGTGAGCACCCCATTCTCCATCGCTGCCTTTATTTCTCCCGTCTTTGCATTCTCCGGCAGTCTGAATCTCCTTATAAACTTACCGCTACTCCTCTCCATACGGTGCCACTGATCATTCTTCTCCTCTTGCTCTCTGCTTCTCTCACCGCTAATCTGTAAAATCCTTCCTTCTTCCACTTCAACTTTCACTTCCTCTTTCTTTATCCCCGGAACGTCCACTTTGCTTGTGGGGTCTCTTTCCAATCGATTTTTGCATTTGCAAAAGCAGAGATTTCACGAGTAGATGATGGGGCATTGGTTGACATTGATAAAAAAAAATTAAGCATCAATTAATTTTTTTTATGTCTTTTAAATATTTTTAAATTATTAATTATTATAATTTATTATATATTTTACATAATTTTCAAATAATATATATTAGTGACATTAATTGAAATTCTAGAGTCTATCTATTTTTTAATGCCTTTTCATAGTAATTTTTTCATAAAATTTGTTATTTTTAAATAACATATAAGATATATATATCCATTATTTTTTCAACCTAATCGCTCTTTTGATTTCGGAAAAAACTTTCTTTATCAATATACTGTTTCTTTTACACACATCTTCATAATCGAAAATGGTAATAGTTAGGATTCATTAAAAAAATCGAGAACCCACTCATGGGACAAGAAACCCTTCCCGCATCAGGCACAAATAAATTTTTTAACGTCTAGTTAGATCGGGAATCATTCAAATTAAGAACAAAAGATCGTTGCTTTTTCTTTCCCTATTAATTTAGGGGTCGGATCACCCTGGGTTACTAAAGAGTCGTCCGACTTCTCGGTGATAAGTTATTAATTATTATAATTTATTATATATTTTACATAATTTTCAAATAATATATGTTACTGACATTAATTGAAATTCTAGAGTCTATCTATTTTTTAATGCCTTTTCATAGTAATTTTTTCATAAAATTTGTTATTTTTAAATAACACACATATATATAGTCTCCTAAGGCACTGATAAAATTTCTAATTAATTTGTGTGACACTGATAAATTAATTCATGGGGCACTAATAAACTTTCTAGTATTAAAGGTACTTCAAGAATATCAACATTTTCCATGAGCATGTTTGATATTTGAGTGTTCATCTACAACCTTTCATTTTTATTGTGACACTTGTTTTAAATTGAGGGACAAGTAACTTGGGAGATTTCATTTTTATTGTGACACTTGTTTTAAATTGAGGGACAAGTAACTTGGGAGATGTAAAAGTAATACTTCATCCGTTTTATAATGAATATTTTTTTTTTAGTCAATTTAAAAAAGAATGACCTTTTTTTTTATAATATTTTAATTTTAGCTTTCCTCGTAACATATTTATGATCACAAAATTTAAAAATCTTATTTATTTTTTTAAAATACCGTATCAAATCAAATTAGATCATTCTTTTAAAATGGAGGAGTAACAATTTTAAAATTATGTTAATGACATTAATTTAATTAAAGTCATTATTTACATAAAAATCGCATTCACATAACAAGTTGCTTCTCATAACTTGGGATCATCATTTCTTTGAATGAAAAAGAGAAACAACAACTACTAAATAAATGTTAAAAATGAAATTATTCATTTATTAAACTCACAAACATTTTCTTGTTTACAACTTAGACAATTACACATACACATAATTCAAGATTAAAAGCTTAATTTCCCTACAAACTAAACATTAATACATTATTGACAACGGGACTTTCATCAAACACTTGATCTGCATTTCTTTAACCAGAGATGTCAATGGCCTTCACCTCAGATTTCTTCTTCTCTTCTTCTTTAGGAACAGTCACAGTGAGCACCCCATTCTCCGTCGCTGCCTTTATTTCTCCCGTCTTTGCATTCTCCGGCAACCTGAATCTCCTTAAAAACTTACCGCTGCTCCTCTCCATACGGTGCCACTGATCGTTCTTCTCCTCTTGTTCTCTGCTTCTCTCACCGCTAATCTGTAAAATCCTTCCTTCTTCCACTTCAACTTTCACTTCCTCTTTCTTTATCCCCGGAACGTCCACTTTGAAGACGTGAGCTTCTGGGGTCTCTTTCCAATCGATTTTTGCATTTGCAAAAGCAGAGATTTCACGAGTAGATGATGGGGCATTGGTTGAAATTGGGAAGCCCTCGAATGGATCCCATAAGTCAAGGGAAAATGGGTCGAAGATGTTGCTCTTACGACCACTGAAGAAGCTTGGAATCAGAGACATTTTTGGAAGCTTTCTTGTTTGAAGAAAACAGAGGATTTTTTAAATTGTTGATTGTAGTGCTTGATTTGTTTGATGACTTGCTGATGATGAACTAGACAAAGTATGGTGATATTTATAGTCGATGAATCTGAGAAACTCAAGCAATTCGAGTGTACTCTAGTATCTTCTTCGCTTAATTTTAGATACGAACAGGAAGAGGGCTTCTACAATATTCCAGAGACTTTTTTTTAGAAGGAATAATTGCACCTTCTTTTTTTTTATTTTTTATGTAAGGAGTAATTGAACTTTTTGTTTTTACATGTACGGTGTGTTTGGTACGAACGAAAATATTTTTCGGAAAATGTTTTCCAATTTTTTTATTTTGGTTGGATTAAATATTTTTCAAATCAACACATTTTTTTTTACATTTAAGGAAAATGACTTTACTTCAAAACTTAATGAAAACATTTTTCAAAACTCTCTTCCAATTTCAAATTACAATTATTTTTTTGTTGAAAAAAATAATTTATTTTGTCTCTACCCTCAAACCAGTCCCCCCAAAAAAAATAAATTTAAACCTTGTTTTTAAATTCAATTTTTTATCCCACCCTCCCCACCTCCTACCACCCCCAGCCCCCCAACCCACCCACCTCCAAAAAAATTTAAGTTTATTTTTAAAAAATATTTTCAACTTCAAAATTTCATTATTTTCACCCCTACCCTTGACCCCCCCACCCAGCCCCCCCTCACCTCCAAAAAAAATTTTAAGTTTGTTTTTAAAAAATATTTTCAACTTCAAAATTTTATATTTTCATCCTTACCTTCGACCCCCCTCCCCACCCAGCCACCCCCTACCAGCCCCTCACCCCCCAAAAAAATTTAAGTTTGATTTTAAAAAATATTTTCAACTTTAAAATTTCATTTTTTCATCCCTACCAGGCCCCCATCCCCCCCCCCCCTAAAAAAAATTTAAGTTTGTTTTTTTTAAAAATATTTCAACTTCAAAATTTTAATTTTTCACCCCACCCTGGACTCTCCCCATCCACCCCCCTACTAGCCCCCCACCCCCAAAAAAATTTAAGTTTGTTTTTAAAAAATATTTTCAATTTCAAAAATTATTTTCTATTCTAGTAAAAATAAAAGACATTTCTCAAAAATATTTTTCATTCATAAATCAAACACTAAAAATCTTTTCCGAAAAATATTTTCTAGTCACCAACCAAATATGAAAAAATAAGTCAAAAAGCAACTTGTTTTTCAAGAAAACATTTTCTAGGAAAATATTTTCCATGAAAAACATTTTCCTTCATACCAAACACATCCATAATTAAAAGGGGGAAAACCTTAAATATGTTATAGAATTTCAAATTTAAAGTCGGCTCATTTATACCCATTTTTTTTAAAAAAAATGGTTCATTCAAGTCAATATTTGTTAACTGAAAAATATTTTAGTTTTGCAAAATCATTTTTATGCGTGGTCAATTATGATATAGCCCACATCATTAATTCAATCATTTAAAACAAATAAAAATCTCAAATATGTCAGCAAACTTTGAGAAAAGACTCATATATGTCATCGTGTAAAATTTGGTTCATCTATGTCATTTCAGTTAACTAATAATGACATGAATAAACCTTTTCTCAAACAAAAATGATATAAATAAGCTAAAATTTTAACGAATGACATAACTAAATTTTAGTAGTAAAATAGTAGATTTTCATTTCATTTGTGAAGACATTTGATTTGCATCCGTAAAAGTGAAGCAACACAACAACACTTTATTTTATGATCCAAGTCTTTATTGACCTACGTCCATAAAATGGTTACTGATCAATCATCAGTATTTTAATTCAAAATTAATTAGAGTCAACTATATGCATTATCTATATTCATTATTTCCTACATCTTTTTCGACTTTGATGTGTATGTATATGCTAGAAAGGGGAAGCCCATGCTTTGCACGGGCCCAATTATCATTATCTGAAATTCGTAATGTTTATTGAGGAACTTTCACATATAGCCACTCAAAAATAGCCTAATTACTCTCCATAAATATAGTTTGATAATTACAATTCGTAGCTACATGTTATAGGGAGAAGAGAGGCGAGCGAGACTGGGAGAGAGAGGAGAGAGGGGAGTGAGAGAGGACAAAAAGTGGGAGAGAGGTGAATTGTATATGTATATCAGTTAAATAATTGTATATTATACATATGCATTTGTATATATGTCAAGAGAGATTGGGAGAGGGAAGAGAGAAGCGAGCGAGATTGGGAGAAGGAGGAGAGAGGTGAGGGAGAGAGGGCAGAGAGTGGGAGAGAGGTGAATTGTCTATGTATATCAGTTAACTATTTTAATTAGGATTCCTACTTGGGTTAATATTGAAAATTTATTTCCTAAACTCTATAAATAGGACCTAGAGTTATTTTGTAAGGGTTTGACTTCTTTGTGGTGTGTAAGAGCAAATATACAGAATTCATCGTAGGTTTCGATTCTTTACTTCTTTAATTTGGAACTGCATGAAGACAATTGTTTTTGAGTTTATGAACATTATGAGTGGCTAAAAGCCTTTGTTTTGGGATTGTAGCTATGGATAATTGTTGAACATCAATAGTTTTGAGTTAATTCTTGGTTACCGCTTAAATTACTTGTGTTCTTATTTTAGTATTCATGATTGACCACACCATAAAAATAAATATCTTGTGTATTATTGGACTCGGGGACAATAAGGTAGATAGACCAAATAATACAAAAAGTTTGATCTTTCTTGCATATCACTTGATTAGATTTGTGTTTATGATTGACACCCAGACAAACACCAAGCTTGATTACGAAACATGATGAAATTAAAATGCTTGTCAATTGGGCCTGTCTATCCCCGATCACCGATGTAGTTAGACGATCAACAAGAGTATTAGGAGATTAGAGGTCGGGAGACCATGATCATAAAATCAACCCTGTAAATCAGTAATTTGATAACCTTATTTAATTCATTGCTTGAGATGTGATACATGAAACCCTATACATGTAGCAGCCCTGAAATTGTCTCTTACTTGTTTAAATCATCAAACTGAAGTCATCCTTGTTAGTTACTTAATTAATTTAAT